ATCTAACCCCAGCACTCTTTCCTGCCTATACAGGGGGTCGGACTCGATGATATATTGAGGTCCCTTCCAACCCTAACATCTGTGAATCTTAAACTGATGCCTTCCATATCTGAACTGGGGTCAAACAAGGTTGCATGATCGCCCCCGCCCTGTTCACTATCTACCTGACCATCATCATCCACCTTATCCCATATGATCTACCATCTGGTGTTAGTATCCAGTAACTGGACGGGAAGCTTTTCAATCTTGGGCAATTCTGAGCAAAAACGAAACTCACCACCAAGGACATCCACGACCTTCACTTTGTGGATGATTGCTGTGTGATGGCTCACTCTGCACAGGATGTGCAAGCGAACCTAGATGTTTTCAGTGCTTCATATAAGAGACTTGGCCTGTCCTTGAATGTCACCAAGATGAAGGTTCTCCACCAACCGTCACCAGGCCAGCTAAACATCCTTCGCGCTATCTGCGTAGATGAGGAGGCTCTGGAGTATGTGCAGCACTTTCCGTATCTTGGCAGCCACCTCTCTCAACTGGCTACCATCGATGAAGAAGTCCAGCACCGGGTCAACTGCGCCAGTGCTGCTGCCTTCAAGCTACAACAGCGTGTCTTTGAAAATGGAGATCTTCAGAAGTCGACGAAGGTCCTGGTTTATAAGGCTGTCACGCTGACCACCCTCCTCTACTGCAGTGAAGCCTGGGCCATCTGTCAATGCCACATTAAGACCCTTGAGAGCTTGCACCAATGCTGCTTGCATCGAATCCTGCAGTTCAAATGGGAAGATCGCTGGACCAGCGTGAGCATTCTCCATGAAGCTGCATCCACCAGCATCAAATCTTTGCTCTTGAGAAATCAACTCTGATGAATGGGCCACTGTGTCCAGATGTCTGAGAACCACCTCCCTTGCCAGAGTCGCTTCTCCCAGCTCTCTGTTGGCCAACGCTCAAAGGGCGGCCAAAGGAAACGGTACAAAGACATGCTCACGGTCACCCTCAAGCATGGAGGTGTCAACACCAATGACTGGGAGGAGCAAGCTGCTGATCATTTGGTGTGGTGCTACCTGGTCCACCAAGGCGCATGTCATTTCGAGGCCCAATGACTTGATACCAAGGTGGACCGGCAGCAGCGGAGGAAGGAGGACACCAACCCGGGGTTGCAAATCCCACTCACCCATGCAACAGCATGCCTCCATTGCCGAAGAATGTGTGTGCATCCAGAATCGGGCACCTCAGTCACCTGAGGACCCATCAAGCCTGATGGACATCATCCTCAACTTTGTGGGACCGCCGGCAAACACTGAACTAAATCTTCGTTAAGCTTACATAATGACACCCAGATATTCATAGTTCATAGTTTCATAGTTTCAGGGTCGGAAGGGACCTAATAGATCTTCTAGCCCGACCCCCCGCCAGGGCGGGAGAACAACCCGAGAAAAAAAAAACAAAAAACCACTCACCCTAAAAACAAAAACGGGACTCAAATGAGTCCAGCCAGGTAAGTATCCAGCCTCTTCTTGAAGATCCCCAGGGTAGGGGCCAGCACCACCTCCCTTGGAAGTTGGTTCCAGCTCCTAGCCGCCCTGACTGTGAAGTAGTTTTTTCGGATGTCCAATCTGTACCTCCTCTCCATCAACTTGTGCCCATTATTCCTTGTTATGCCAGCAGGGGCTAGGGGAAACAGCGTCTCCCCCAAACCCTTCTGGTTCCCCCTAGTGAGTTTATAGACGGTCACCAGGTCCCCCCTCAGCCTTCTCTTGTGGAGGCTGAATAGGTTCAAGTCCCGCAGTCTCTCACTGTAGGGTCTGCCCTGTTGTCCCCGGATCATGCGGGTGGCCCTCCTCTGGACCCTCTCCATGTTGTCCACATCCCTCCTGAAATGGGGCGCACAGAACTGGACACAATACTCCAGCTGCGGCCTGACCAGCGTCGCATAGAGGGGGAGGATCACCTCCCTGGCTCTACTCGAGATGCACCTGTGGATGCACGACAAGGTCCGGTTAGCCCTGCCAACCATGACCTCGCATTGTCGGCCCATGTTCATCTTGGAGTCAATAATGACACCAAGATCCCTTTCCGCCTCCGTGCTCTCAAGTAGGGAGCTCCCCATCGTATAAGTGTGCTGCTGGTTCCTACTACCCAAGTGCAGCACCCTGCACTTGTCCGTATTGAAACGCATCCTGTTCCTGTCTGCCCACCCCTGTAACCTATCCAGATCCTTCTGCAATCTCTCTCTCCCTGCTAGCGTGCTCACCTCCCCCCAAATTTTGGTGTCATCAGCGAATTTAAACAGGTTGCTCTCCACCCCAACATCAAGATCGCTGATGAAGACATTGAACAGCGCAGGGCCCAGGACCGAGCCCTGAGGGACTCCACTACCCACCTCCCCCCAAGTCGAATATGATCCATCCACCACCACCCTCTGAGTGCGACCCTTCAGCCAATCTGCAATCCATCTGACCGTGTAGGCATCTATGCCACAGTCGCCTAGTTTACTAATTAGGATGGGGTGAGAGACGGTGTCAAAGGCCTTGCTGAAGTCCAGAAAGACTACATCCACCGCGACACCTGCATCCATGGCCTTTGTGACCTGATCATAAAAGGCAATCAGGTTGGTCTGACATGATCTCCCCCTAATAAATCCATGCTGATTGCCCCTGAGCATCATCTCGGATGCCGGCCCATCACAAATGTGCTCCTTGATGATCTTCTCAAAGAGCTTCCCCAGGATTGAGGTAAGACTGACGGGCCTATAATTGCCCGGGTCCTCCCTTTTCCCTTTTTTGAAGATGGGGACCACATTAGCTACCTTCCAATCGTCTGGCACCTGGCCCAAGCACCACGATCGCTCGTAGAGCCGTGCCAGGGGCCCTGCAATAACCCCAGCCAGCTCCCTCAGCACCCTGGGGTGGAGAGCATCCGGACCCGCTGACTTGAACGCGTCCAGCCCCTCCAGAAGCTCTCTAACCCGGTCCTCCCCAACCTGAGGTCTGAAGGCGATCCCCTCGCGTCCGGCTTCTATCACAGCAGGGAAGTCCCGGTCCCTGCACAAGAAAACGGAGGTGAAGAATTGGTTAAAGAGGTCCGCTTTATCCTCTGACGCAACCACCAGATTGCCCCGCATATCCTGCAGGGGCCCCACATTACCCGGCGCCTTCTTCATCCTCCCAATATATTTGAAAAAGGACTTTTTGTTATCCTTAATCCTGGACGCTAATCCGAGCTCTATCTCCGCCTTGGCCTTCCTAACAGCCCGCCTGCAGGCCCGAGCAGAGGAGGTATACTCCTCTTTGGAGATTACACCCCCCTTCCACCGGGCGTACGCCACCCTTTTGGCAAGCAGGCATTCCCGGACACCCTTGGTGAGCCAGGGGGGCTTTTGGACACTCCTGCCCGCCTTGCTTCTTGTCGGGATGGACACCCCTTGGGCCCCGAGTATCGTTTCCTTAAGGAACGACCACTCCTCTTGGACGCTGAGTTCCTCTGCCCTCAAGGACCCCAGTTCCTCTCCCACTAATCTCCTCATCTCACTGAAGTTGGCCCTCCTGAAGTCTAGGGCCACCACCTTGCTGCGGGCCCTTGACACTCTACGCTGGATGGTGAATTCCAGCACGCGATGATCACTATTGCCCAGGTGGTCAAGAACCTGGAGGCCTCTTACCAGGTCGTCGCCTGCGGCCAGGACCAGGTCCAGCAGAGCATCTCCTCTGGTGGGACTGTGCACCTCCTGAATCAAGTGGAGGTCCTGCAACTCGGCCAAGAACCTCCTGGAGCGGTCCGTCCCGGCTGACTGCTCCTCCCAGCAGATGTCCGGGTAATTAAAATCGCCCATGACAACTACATCCCTTGCTTTTAGTGTCTCCGCAAGCTGGCCTGAAAATTCCCTGTCCAGCTCCTCCTCCTGATATTTGTGAAGACAGTCATACTAACAATACTGCACTTTTACTGATACTTATTTTCCTGTGGTAGAAAAAAGGATGGCACTCTGCTGGTGCAGCTGTGTTCAGCAGG